TCACGTGGAAATATGAAAGGCGCTAGCTAACTCTCTAACAGTGACTTGAAGCACCAATGCTTACAATGCACAACATGCAGAGTCTGGCAACATTTTCTGAAATACACAAAATGTCAGCTTGCAGTCAGTGGGCTGGTGTTGGAATTACATTACAGAAGCAATATTCTGTGTGCTAACTATTTAGATTTACAATTTAGAAGACAATATTCAAAAATGAAATACTTTTAAAGTTCATTGTCACTTAGTCTTGCAGAAAAGGGGTGTTCAAGATTTCAACTGAGGGATACCAGGGACCTCCAGATGGTGCAGTCCATGAAGCCAAGGCGTGTGTAGAAACTAGGACTGCTCTGACATTTCCATGGTGTTTTCAGGTTTTGTAAGTAGTCATTTATGTCAAAAGGTAACAAAGCATAAAAGCTGTGCTGTGGAGGCAGTGTTCACAAAGCTGCCTGCACGATGAAATTAGTAATAGACCGCTCTGTTTGATAGCATGTCATTTTCAGATGTTATCTAAACGCAACTTCAAAACCCTGAGGAAAAAGACATCACATTTTAATTTTACGGGTGAAGTACAATAGGTTCACTCTGCATTCATTGAAATTCCTGTGTGCTGCTTGGTCAATATGCTAGCCACTGACTGTCTAAACTTACAATTTTCAAACTTTGACCCCTCCGGCTCCTACAATCTTTCCTCCCCCTCTTCTGTGGGGTTGCCCTGGCTCCGCCTGGTGTTTGGCTGTGGGTCTCTGCATCTGCTCCCATCAGCTGCTGGATGTTGCCTCTCTGGTGACAATTTGGCTGGGCACCGATCTGGGAGTAAAGCAGAATATCGTTAGGCATCATTTCATTGACTTTTTTTTGTTATTAACAGGCCTGTTTGGTTCTCTCCTGGGTCTCTGGGTGGTCCTGCCTCTGGTCCCTGGCCATCCAGGCAGTGTCAGACACGGGCTCCCTCTCATGGCACAGGCCTCAGTCATTGGTTGGCCCCTCGCACAAGTTCTGCTCCATCTTTCCCCCAGCACATCTTGCAGACGGGACAGATTGGAGGTTGAAGGTTTTTGTGGCTGAGTTAATGTCCCAGTCCCACTGCTAGGAGCCTTGTCTAGTTACAGACGATGGCCAGTTCAGGCTCTGTATCCCCTATTACTGGGAGATTTGCTAGGGTCACTCTTGTAGATTCCAGGGAATTTCCCCTGAACTAGGTCTCTATATTGTTCTCCAAATGCCCTCCAATTCTAGGTCTCCCAGTACTCCCGCCATCCATCCCTCCCACCCAACACCTAATCCCTCCTGTTTTCATCCACCTGGAAAATCTATTCTATTTCCCCTTGTTGAGGACACCACAAGAACATGGCCCACAGAATCAGCTAAGCAGGCCTCGTAGGGGCTCACAGAGACCGAACTGACTAAGATGGACCTGCATGGGTCTAAGCTGGGTCCTCTGTGCATACCTTATGGTTGTGTAGCTTGGTGTTCTTGTGGGACTCGTAACAGTGGGAGTGGGGGTGTCTCTGATTCTTTTACCTGCTTTTGGGACCCTTTTCCTCCTTTTACGTTGCCTCTTCCAGCTTTGATATGAGGATTTGTGTCAAGTCTTAGTGTATCCTGTTAGGCCATGTGTGGTGGATATTCCCAGGAGGCCTGCTCTTTTTATTGAGGAGGAGGAGGAGGGGTAGGGGGGAGGAGTGGATCTAGGGGAGAGGGGAGGGACGGAGGGGAAACTGAAGTCAGGATGTAATGTATGAGAGAAGAATAGAAGTCTTTTTTAAAATGTTCAAACTTGTCTTTACTCTTTTCTTAGTAAACTGAGGGAAGAAATGATGAAAAATGCTCAGTGTGGACAAAAACAAAATAATTAACAGAATAGTGCTCACATAAGAAAAATAGAAAATAATACACAGGCCCTATGGTGGACATGTAGAAATAAAATTGGAATAATTCATAGAACAATGTTGCCAAGGAGATTGATCATCGGGGAGGTATGCAAAGGTTTTATTGCTCAGCTTAAAAGACCAAAAAACAATTTAATATTGACAAATGTATATTCATGTACATATATGGGTTTGTATATGATATAAACATATCTTAAACCTGGAAGAGCAAAAATTTAGCAATATGCCTAAAAATAATAGAACGGCTTTGGTGGGTAATGTGTTTACACTGACTTCCTAGTCTTCTGTAGTAGTGTTTCGTAGCTATTGTCTAAAACTTTTTTGAATTGCATTATTTAAAAAATATTTAACTTTTATTTTAAAATCTATGGGCAAGACTACACAGGAAGAAACTTCGTGAAAACTCCTTTCATTAATATTCTTCCTGGAATATTGCTTATTTTATACTTAAATCCTTTTAAATTGTACTTTATTCTGCTGTTTGTAACTCAGCCCTGGGTAACATTATACTGGAACGCTAATATCCAAACCATTCTGAAGTTCTGTTCATAATAAAATTAAATAGAACCAAAGAAAAATAATTAAATCAATTGACTACAGTTATATGCAAAAAATAGACAGAGCTTCAGAGTGCCAATGAATAAGGAGTTTAACAAGGAAGTGGCCCTTGAAGTCTTGAAAGGTGGACAGTCTGAAGACAGAACGTTTTGATGGTTATTTAATTAAGAGGTGGAAGACCCAAAAATAGCTTTGCTATTTCAGGGGCCAAATGTTCAAATGTTTCTGCCTTTCACCAAAGTGATAAATGCCATGGTTCATTGATTCTGCTCTGGTTGGGACTACAGTGAGCAAAAGTTTGCAGAAAACCAGTGAGGAAGAACAGAGAAAAGGGAAATTCAAACGGAGAAATAAACACGTAAGTACATGAAGACAAGACCCTTCCTCATTTGCATTAACACCATTCTGCAGGGAAGACTGGAAATGGAATAGTAAATTGAGATTAGATTGTAGGAAGCACTGAATGCTAAAGAGAGGGGCCAACTCTAACTGGCTGGAATAATCACTGCTGGGTTCTAAGGTAGGCCTCGGAACTCTTTCAACAGATGTACCGAGGAGCGTGTGGGAAAACAGCCGCTCCCAACAGTTTCCAGACTCCATGCAGTTCTCAACAATCTCTCACTTAATGCTTACAAGATCTCCAGGAAGCATATATTATTATCTTCACTTTACAGATGAGAAATTCAAAGTCAGATATTTTAAGAAACATGTTAGCTCGAGTTAGAGAAGAAGAGAGGACTCTGGGAAGTGAGGTGGCAGGTTTCTGGGACCAGGGACTGAGGACTTCCAAATCCTATCTCTTCTTCAAGCAATGGAAACACAGTCAGAAACAGTGAAAACTCAACTTTTCCAAAAGTCTGGAAAGTAACTAACGGCTTGCAAGAATTCAAGGAATGCTATTAAATAAAAGTGGCTCAGTTAGGGCATAACAGAAAGCTTTTGTGGTGTTCTGCCTTGACCCATTCCCATCCCAGTCCCCACTCTCCATGCTAGCCATGAGGATCATCAGGACTGTAACCATAGCAAACAGGAAACAAGCAGTGTGGCTGTAACTGGAAGAAGCAGAGTGGATTTGAACCTCCATAAAGGCCCCGCCCCTGGAGAACTGTGCTATTTTTCCTGTCTGCTACTTCCCTGGAAACTCTCCATTCACAAAACTTGTCATTATTGAATTTGACTCAGAACTCCCTCAGTAGGAAAATATCCACCCACAGAGATTTTTTTTTTTAAAGTAATTTGTAACAGTGTAACTGCCTGAAGTGAAAGTCCCCACTGGAGAAAAGAGGAGGCAAGCTGAGATATTTAAGATGTGTCTGGGGAATTGCATTTCCAATGGAGAACATGTAGGGATGAGGCAGAAATGGCCTTAACTCTCACCTCTCGATAATATTGCAGCATCAAACAAGGAAATCAAGACAAACACAGAGTTGTAAACTGCCAAAACATGGACTTTTCATCCCACTACCCAGAGATCCTCAGCACTGTATAGACACATCATAATTCGAAACTGGAATTTCTGCACTGACAAGCTTCTCTGATGGGGTCTAAGAGCTGCACTAACCTGCACATAAGAGACAGGGATTCAGAGGGCAGGGGGAGACTGTGTCCGTTAGCTAAGTTATATTACCAGGCTTTCTTCTGGAGCAGTGAGTTCCCCAACCCTTGGTTCTTGACCAGATTTGGGGTACCAGGCATGTGCTTACTCCTGTGGAGTAGACCTTAAATTAAATCAGAAAGCTCTTGGTAAATCAGAAATTGAGTGGAGAGATATTAGTACACTGATATAAAATTCAACACAATTATGAAAATGTGTTGCATTTGTTACAATATAGCTTTTAGCTGATGTAACTCCTAGTCAATGAAATGATTAAAAAATTAACATTTTTCTGTGTTTAGTTGTTAAAAGTCACAAAATTTCAATCAAGTGTTTACTCTTAGCTATCCTTAAATGTATCTCTTGCTGTTTAAATTCCGAAAAGGGGTGGGGGAAGATAAATGATCAAGTCATTTCCCAAGGACAACGAGCCTTGTTGAATCTATGCTGTTTCATTGCTGTCTAATATAGAATTTCCTCAAGTCACTGACAGAGGGAGAGAGTGATGGGGGCGGGGGCACTTGTGTATATCCACTATGACGTCCTGCCACTATTGTGCCCATGGGCATATCTTGCCACACCAGTCATTACTTCGGTTCACAGGGTTTACACTGCAGAAAATTGTGAGCTAGCTGCTTTATTAAATGGACAGTGACTTCGAAGGACACAGAACAAGTTTCAGAAAAATCATAAAACAAAAAGTAAAAGTAAAATACAGCAGCAGCATCTGTTGCTATAGGGTACGTGGGGATCTAGCTTTTAATAATGGCAAATTACTAGATTTGCAATGACAATATTCCAAAAAAACTACAGAACAGTAGATAAATTTGAAGAAAAAATAATAGAAAATGCTTATAAGAAAGGACAGGTGTTTAACTTAACTATAAAGGCTAGAATTAGTGAATTTATGCATGAATTATAAAATAAAACGTTAAGGAATTGAAAGGTTGAAAACAGAAAATATAGATAAGCAGATAGTAAATATTTTAAACTGAATAGAAATTATGAAGTGAAAAGATATACTTACAGAAATAAAAACTCACTAGAAGGGCTCAGAAGTGAGTGAGTTGGTTGAAGGTAAAGGGAAATGCAGTTGACCTAAAATTATCTAGTCTGAGAAACAAAATGTTGAAAAAATGAACACAGCCTCAGATGTGTGAGATATTATGTAGTATAGAAACACAGTCACACAGAAGCTCATGAAGAAAAAGAGAAAGGAAAGAGCTTTCTAAAGAGTTTCTGAATGACTCAAAATCAGAGTCTGCAATTCCATAGCCTTTCAAAGTTATGAGGAAGGAGCTGGAGAGATGACTCAGCTGTTCAAAGCTCTTGTTGATCTTGCAGGGAACCTGGGTTTGGTTCACAGCACCCACATGACTGCTCCTGACCACCAAGAACTCCAGTTCCAGGGATTCTGATGCTCTTTGTCTTCCACAGGCTCCTGAGTGCACACGGAGTGCATAAACCCCTGAAGGCACACACAAATGCACATAAATGTAATAAATAATTGTTTCCTAAGTTAGGGAAGAATCAAAATGCTCCAAGGTAAAGAAAACTTAGAAAATTTCTTCTCACACATCTATCCTGTGAGAAAAATAACAAGATTGCTCAGTTTCCAGTGAAAGAGCATTAGCTAGTGAAACCACGGGAGAAATACTGACCAGAGATTGTGGCATCTTCTTAGGCAAATGTGAAAAAAAAAGGTAGAAGTTTTTTATTATTTTAACTTTTTCCTGATATTGATATATATAAGACAAAAAGTATAAAATAATAATTATGAAGCTACATTAATAGACATGTAATGTATAAATGTAGAACTTTTGTGACAAAAATTCATATTGGATCAGAAATGGATTATAGCAATATTAGAGTACCCTTTGAAGTATTATAAAGACATATATCAACATAAGCTAGAATTATGTGAAAATTTTGTTTTGCAAGTCTATGTGCAATCACTAAAATATAAATAAACAACACAGTAAAAGAACCAATGAGTAAATAAAAGTTGTACACTCTACAATATCTATTTAACATAAAAAATAAGTTAATGAAGAAAGAAAGAGACAATAATAAGACACATAGAGAAGAAATGACAAAATGAGGAATAGAATCAATAAACGCCTCACCTATATGAAACTATATAACAAAACTGTTTGTCTTTAACACAAAAGTATGTTAAAAAGAAACAATGGAAAATATATGACGTGGGAAAAAGAGCAATTGTATGGTGCTACTAATATCAAATAAACAGATTTTATGACAGTAGTGTTTACTGGATAAAAAGGATATTTTGTAATGCTATAAAGATAAACTATTAAGAACATTGTAGCACAAATCTTAAAAGATCTTATTAATAAAAACAAACCTGGAGCCAGGTATTGGGGTGAACGCTGGAAGATCAGAGAAGCAGAACAAGCCACAGCCACCTCACCTTGTCAATTTCTCAGCTGATCCTGTTTCCTCAGACTGGAAGCCTCTGAGTCCTCATCCAGAATGAATCTCAGCTGAACTGTGCTGCTCCAAAGCCTGAAAGCTTAACCAGGCCTAGTTCCTGGTTTTCACGCCTTATATATCTTTCTGCTTTCTGCCATCACTTCCTGGAATTAAAGGCGTGTGTCACCATGCCTGGCTGTTTCCAGTGTGGCTTTGAACTCATGGAGATCCGAATGGATCTCTGCCTTCGGAATGCTAGGATTAAAGGTGTGTGTGCCACCATTTTCTGGCCTCTAGTGGCTGTTCTGTTCTCTGACCCCAGATAAATTTATTAGGGTGAAGAGTATTTTGGGGAACACAATATCACCACAGAACATACAGAAATACAAATGTCCACACTTCAAAACCCAGTGTCCTAAGGAAGATACAACAAAACTGATGAGAGAATTTAAAAAATGGACAAGTCAATAATAAGCGTCGGAGAATTTAGTACACCAGTATCAACAGAAACAAGAACAACAACAACAAATAAATGGAGTTTGAGAGCTGTTTGGTAGACATGGTCCACATTTGTAGGACCTTTCCAAACAGGACATTTTCATCAATGATGTGTGAAACACTGTCCATGAGAGAACATTAACTGGAACAGGAAACAAGGCTCAAAAGGCTTTCGTATATTTTTTGTTGTGAGCCTAGCCTTTAATGGCTGAGTCATCTCTCCAGCCCTCAGAAGGTTTTCTATGATAGAAAACTTCAAGCTTGTGTTCTTCAACCACAATAGGATAAAATTAGACACCAGAGAGGAATGACATTGAGGTAACGAGTGGAAATCAGCACAGTCCTAATTAATGGCGGGCCAAATATGAAAACACACTGTTTCATTACAGATGAACAAGAACAAATTCATAATATACTAAAGCATGTGTAATGAGGTCAAAATAGTCCATAGAGGGATAGTTAATGATATATACACCAAAATTAAATGACCACAGATGAACAACCTCAATATATTACAAACAGAAGTAGAATATAAACCCAAATTAAACAGAGGGAAACATATTAAAGAAGATGGAAGTAAGAGAGAATAGAAAATATTAGAGAAAATCAACATAGGCAAAAGTGAAAGAAATAAAACAATGATAAGGCTTTAGTTGGATTGATCAATAAGAGAGAAGATTCAAATTACTAAAATCAAGATGTGAGAACATCACAACAGTCTTCAAGAAATAAAGTTGCCTACAAATTAGATGACTTACTCATCTATTCCCACCATTTCTCATTCTTACACAATACCCTCTACATCTTCAGGCCAATCAAGGCACACCTATCCCTCCTAAAGGTTGGAACCTTATGATTGCTTTTTAAAAGGAGACACACACACACACACACACACACACACACACACACACACACACACATACACACACACACACACACACACACACACACACACACACTGCTTTTAAAGGGACTCATGTAATTAGGTGATCCCAATAAAATAATATCTCTACTTACAAGTCAGTTGATTTGAGACTTCCCTTTTACAAAACTCTGTCATAGCAGTATCTGGATTGGAGTTTGTTTCAATATATAGGAAAAGGTATGGAAGCACTAAGAATTTGAGCTAGGAATCTGGGGAACTGGTGAGTGGGACATTTTAAAATTCTTCCAGGAACATTAACAACAACAACAACAACATAATAATAATAATAATAATAATAATAATAATCTACTAATCTCTAAGAGCATTTGCAACCTGTTTAAAATTTTTATACCGTGGTGTCAGAGTGCAGTGGGGCACACCTCTAATCCAGCACAGAGAATACCATGGCAGGAATACAGCAAGTTTGAAGACAGCTTCAATTACATAGTGAATTCTAAGTCAGTTTCAGCTACATTGTGATATAATCTCATAAACAACACAACAAAAAAGGAAAGAAGTGTACTAATTAAATTACAAGACATTGGAAGCCAAAATCCATGGAGAGTGTGAAAAGACAAGGAACGAATATGATCTTTGCCACCAATTGCTGTAATATTCTTATATAGTATATGTAGGAAGGCCGTTTATACAGCTACAGACCAAACCTTTCAGGGATACTGACTGAGATTTTCTTTCATGGAGAATTAGCAACAAGAAAACAACTATTTTTAATAAATTCCTTGAATATAGATTAATAGAAATAAACAACATGGATTCAGTAACTCAACTGTCTGGATTTACAGTTTGCTTTAGCCACTAGTTCTATGTTTTTGACCAAATTATTAAACCTTTGTGTGTCTTGACTATCTTTATGTGAAACACAGGTGTTTAGAGTTCGTTACTGGGTTCTCTTTGGCAGTAAAATTTTATATGTAGGTAAATACTTAGAACAGAGACACCAGGTAATAAATGCTACTTAAGGATTGGCATATATCATTGTTGAAAGTGTAAGAGAAAAATGGAAATTTTTAGGGCATTCTGAAAAGCTATTAAAATAATAAAGATATAAGAAGGTAATGACAGGCCAGGCAGTGGTGGCGCACACCTTTAATCCCAGGACTCGGGAGGCAGAGCCAAGTGGATCTCTGTGAGTTCGAGGCCAGCCTGGTCTATGCAGTGAGCTCCAGGACAGGCACGAAAACTACACAGAGAAACCCTGTCTCAAAAAACCAATAAATAAATGATAGTAATGAAGTAATGATTCAGGTACATAGAACCATATGAAAAACATCAAAAAGTACATTTGACTGGATGAGAATGCAAGAGTATCTGAGAATGATCTGGAGCTTTCTGGATAAAGGGAAAGGTGGATGAGGATTCTGAATATCAAGGCAGGAAAGAAGAGATTTAATGTGGGTCTAGTTCACATGGAGATGGTCCATTTTAACACAGAGAAACACATCTCAACCCAGAATCTAAAATCTGGAGATGCAGATTTACCAGTGGTTACCATATAATAGATGTATGAGATCATCTATGGAAATCATATAAAGAGAAAAAGAACCGCAGATTAAGGAGTGAAACCTGGAAAGCGTTAAAGTTATGGCAGAGCAGGAAAAAGCTGAAAAACAAAGATACAGTGGTGACAGATTTATAAGAGCCAGGAGAGAATAGTATCATAAAACCTATGGAAATAAATCATTTTAAGTACATGTAATATGGAAGCCATCAGAAGCTGCAAAGATGGACCATGCAGTATCGAAGTTGTATCTCCAGAAGAGAAATATGGAGGAGGCAGCAGCCAGTCTACACTGATAGATAGAGTTCAAGTCAACAGCAACAAAATCTACCCTAATGTGAACGAGGAAAGTTCCAGGGTGTGTGTTTAATTTAACTACCTGGAGTAGTTGGCTGTAGTGTGAAGTCTAATTGGTCTTAATAATAAAAACCTGGAGCCAGATATCAGGGTAAATGCTGAAAGATCAGAGAGACAAAGGAGCAAGCCACAGCCACCTCTTACCTCACCAACTCCTCAGCCTGAATTGGGGGAGCTCCAGTCTCTACCCTGCCTTATCTCTTCCTCTCTCTGCCCAGCCATATCACTTCCTGTTTCCTCCTCCCAAGTGCTGGGATTAAAGGCATATGCCTGCCGAGTACTGGCATCAAAGGCATGAGATCCCAAGTGCAGGGATTAAAGGTGTGTGCCACCACTGCCTGGCCTCTGTGGTTTACTAGTAGCTAGATCTACCCTCTGATCTCCAGGCAAGCTTCATTTGTCAGAACACAAAGAAAATGTTACCACAGTTGGCCTGTTAAACAAACTGTCTAGCATGTAGTATGATGTTTTCCACAATTAAAACTCAAATCATTTCTCTGGTGGCATAGCTAGATTAAGTTCCTGTGGGGGGGAAAAACATTATCCGTAGTTCAATTGAAATCTACAAAAGATTTCAAGAATTTCAGGATCACCTTTAATTCCAAGATAGGTCCAGTCTAATCAGGCTCAGAAGGCTGCTCCACTGAGCAATGACAGCTGATATTCATTGAGCAGTTGGCAGTATGTGGCATGCTGACTTCCTGCACCAGTTCATTTCACCCTTAGGTAACCCAGC